CCCTCCTCCCTCCCTCCCTCCCGCGCCTCCCTGATCGAGCCACATTGAGTTGAGCCCCCTTCTCCGCGATCCCCTTGCCCCCTTTCTGGCATGAAGAGTTTCTCATATTCGCGGTAGAACTGCCTGGAGGGCCTGGAGTCGCCTGGACCTGCTGCCGTCGACGGTGCCAAGGGGCAAAGCCGCAAAGCCTCGTTGTTCGAATAATCGATCACTGCGGCAAGACTGGTCAACCGCAGAGGTCATACGGCCACAATAAGTCACAGTATTGTAGCCTGATTGATATGTTTACTCTATTCCACACACCCCTACATTCACACCGAGTGCAGCACCCTCTACGTAGTACTTTACGTACTTCGGGGTCCTACGTGGAGTGCCAAACGAAACGCGTCATAATTTTTTTTTCTTAGTATTCGAATAAAAATTCCAATGAAATATTTTCAAAGCGAATCATTTATATTTTTGTTTACAGCTTACGTGCTCCTTCAAAAAGCACGTTCAAATTCTCTCACGCGCCCTTATTTAAACTTGCCGCCAGCACTGCCCAACCTGGAGGGTTATTGTGTTGTAGTGTTGGCCTTCCTGTTGTATCAGCAGCAGAATGCAGCAGACGACACGACAAACACCACAACAGATGTTTTCACCGGGGTTGAAGACAAGCGTTTTTGATTTTGTTTCCAGGATGCCAAATTAAATACCTTACTTTGTAAGAAAAAATATTTCAAAGGGTGCTGGCTGCTCGCTGTTTGTCGACTTATATCATCACTGGCAATGTCCTACGAAATAAAGAATCGTGTGTTAGCCTTAGGGCGGAAATCACGACTTTCAGAAATGGATCATACACTGAGATCAGAAAAAATTAACTGGATGGAGTGTCGACATCCTTCAGGAGACACACTTCTGCATATTGCTGCTCAGAGTGGAAACGTCTCTTTGATGAGGTACACGCTTACTATCTTATCCCCAGCCTTATTCCATTCGTAAACAATAATTTTGAATACGCTGGTTATTGTTCTCATTGGAACTCTCAGGCATTTACTAGAACATTTAAACTCAGAGCCAAAGTGGGTTGATGTAACCAACTTAGCTGGTAAAACTCCTTTGCATGAGGCATGCCAAAATTCTCAACCTGAGGCTGTGTCCTTCCTAATTAGTAAAGGTATAGTATGTGATAAGTTATTACTGAAAGTGGTATACAGTGAAAATCAATTTGACGTTTTTTTGCTTTGCATAAGGTGCTAACGTTCGAGCTATAAAACAGGCCGATTGGACTCCTCTCATGCTTGCATGCACAAAGACTGGAAAAAATTCATTAAGTTGTTGTCGCCTCTTGCTAGAAAAAGGAGGTCCTGTGCTAGTTGCAGACAAAAATAAAGATGGGTGGAATGCTTTACATATTGCAGCAAGAGAAGGGGACACTTCAATTGTGAAAGAACTTCTGCAGTTTGACCCTTCTTCTATGCAGGCCACAGAGAAAAGCAAAAATGGGAGAACACCCTTACACACAGCAGGTAAGACATTAATACATTTTCTTTCATTTTAACTTTTTCAAATCTTACTTTTACCAAAAAAGAAAATTGTCTTAAAAATCACTTGAAGCATTACATGGCTGCCACCACGTTGTAGAAGAACTGTTGGCTCTGAACTCCATAGACTGCAATGTTCAGGATTCTTGTGGTGCCACACCACTCCACGATGCTGTTCGGAGTGGGGACCTTAAAACTTTGACAGCTTTAGCTAGATCAGGAGCTGATTTAAATGCATACAACAATGAGGGATATGGGTAAGATGGCAGCTACCTTTTTTATGTGTCTGATAAATTAGAGCTGATTTTATTTCCATCTCCCATTTTACAGAATTCTACACATGGCTGCCCAAACTGGTCAAGTAGCAATGCTGAAATATCTACTAGAAGAAGTTTGTCTGAATATAAAAATAGATCTAAACATGAAGACTACTCCTTTACACTGTGCAGTTAGAGCAGGACAAACCGAAGCTGTTGTTGAACTTTTAGAAAAAGGAGCAGATCCTAAATCTTTGGATTTCTGGGGACGTTCATGTATGTAAATCTTGAACTGTTTGTTTACTGACATAAGTTAGAAAATATCAAACGCCAATATTTTCATTTATTTCAGGTTACGATATTATTCCAGAAAAGAATGTATCTGACATTAAAAGTATGCTTGATAAAGCTGTGACAAGAATTGATTTTGAAGAAGCATAAGCAGTTTAGAAACAGTAAAACAGCGTTTATTCTGATTTGCCTCCTCTTTTTCGATATTTTATATTCATTCTGATTTGTCCTCCCCACCATCCTCTTCACCACCTGTAAAATGAAATTGTTAGAATGAGACAAAACATTTCAAGGTATTTTAAGCATTAGATCTCCATGTACTCCTTTTTATTTAAAAAATCTTACTTGATTCAGGTGCTTCTGTACCTTCTGCAACTTCTTGTTTCCTAAGTCTCTTCTTCCTCTTATTCCGCTTTGATTTCTCACTATTTATTTTTCTTTTCAATGCTTTCTGATCTTCTACAGATTGCTTTAGCACCTGAACAGCTGATTGTTGATAACTTTCTTTATTGGGGGGTATGCTGCCTGGGAAAAGAGGAACAACTAGTTTGCCAGTTTGAGTGGGGTATTTGGAGGAAAATCCTTTAGGAATAAGAGGTTTCGATAGCAAGACAGTTAGCTGTTTCTTTAAAGCAGTAGCTTGCTTTTTGACCTTGTTTGCACCATCCCGAGAATACGAAGTAGGTCTGATGTAGCATTAAGGAAATACTTAAAATAGATAGACAGATACTAACATTAATAAAATCTAATAATAAAAACATAAATGGCATGTAAAGGATACAACTCGTCATCACTAATTTCCAAGTCCATCTCCTTCACAAGCTTGTCAAACCAGCCATGCTCAGTGTTGACACGTCTAGCCTGTAATTCTAGTTTATCAACCCGTCTTGCAAGATCTACTCTCTGTTTTACTGAAGCCATCCATTGTGTGTCAACAGGGAAAGTAGGCAAACTAGAATCTGAAATATAAAAAGAAATGAAAAAAATTATAGAATCGAACAAAGGTTAACAGAATAAAATGAAAATTTGCTCACCTCTACCAAGAGTTCTGAAAAGCCGGGTAGATGTGCTAACTTCTGAGGGTTCCATTAATAAAACTGTTAAGCCCTCTTGCTGAGCTCTTGCAGTTCGACCACTTCGATGCACATAACCCTACAGGAAAAAATATCAGCGATTAACTTAAAATATTTCTTCAGAAGAAATTAGAAAAGAGGGAAGATCGCTACCTCTGCTGTTCGTGGTGTTTGGTAGTGAATGACATGTTGCACATTAGGGATATCCAGACCACGAGCAGCCACATCCGTAGCCAGAAGAACCCCTTTTGGATCAGCACAAAACCTAAATAAAACAAATTCAAATGAATTTAGAAGTTAACACAATTAATTCTTCACCAAAAAATTACTAAGTATATAAACCTTTCAAGGTTTTTTAGTCTTTGCTTTTGATGCATTTTGGCATGCAAAGGCCAAGGTGTGCACCCTAAGATAGTAAAAAGCTGGGATAATCTTCGTACAGCTTCAATTGAGTTGCAAAAGACTAAAGTACGCCCAGGATGTCTTTGAAGAAAATAGTACAAATAGTGATCTTTCTCTTCAAAAGAGCACACGATTTGAGCTTCAGTCAACTTCTGGGCCACTCCTTAAAGTAAATTATAAAATTTTCATTTATTTGCACATTTTATGATTTACTAATTGTTAGATGGGTATTTCAGCAAACCTGAGGAATCAGTAATGTCAACAATTTTAGGATCAGTGAGGCCAACAGTCTTCATTATGCTAGCTAACTTTTGAGCTGGAGTGAAACGGGCTGCAGGAGCCTGTCCTTTCTTTTTTCCATTCTTCTTCATGACATAGCGTGGAGGTTCATGAGTCATTGTCAATGTAGCAGAAAATACAAAATTTTGTCGCTTTGGTTTGTGAGCATCATTTTCATTAATTTTTTCTAGGATCTTCTGAAGTTCCTCAAAGTGGCCTTTTTCTAACATGCGGTCAGTTTCATCAATGGCTAAATACCTGAAATATAAAGAAGTTACCCAGGAGTAAAATAAAAATGCACTAGAGAATAAAAAGATAAGTCAATAGATTAGAGTACTTCTTTCAGAAAAAGGAATATATTTTTACCGCAGTGTGTCAACTTGAGAAAGATGGGGGTGACCTTCCTGAATAAGTTCCCACAATCTTCCTGGTGTAGCAACAACTATTTCAGGGCCACGATTCAGAAGTCTCTCCTGTTTCTGCACAGCAAGTCCTCCAACCACAACTGACACAGCAATATCAGTGTACTTTGCTGCTACTTTGAGGTGCTGAGATATTTGAACAGCTAGCTCTCTGGTTGGTGTTAATATTAAAGCATATAATGGTTTGGGAGTATACCGGGACTTGGATGTTGACTTCACTTTCCCCAAGATTGGAAAGTTAAAGTCAATATTGTCAACTACTTTGACACATTGTGCAGTTCCGTTAAAGTCATCATAATTACTCCCTTCCCCCTCTGAATCATTTTCTGGGTCATTACTGTGATCAGATTCACCATCCTCATCAGAGCCAATGTCATCTTTGATAGAGCCTTCATTTCCATCAGATTCTTCATCATTGTCAGAAAACGCACATTCTTCAAAGTTACCATCCCCACTCTCCTCATTATTACAATCATCTTTGTCATCGTCATTTTCAGAAATTTCCTCTGGCACTATTTCAACTTCTTCACTTTTTAATTTATCTAGATAGATAGATAGATAGATATTCATTATAAAATAGATATGAATAATAGTACTATGAATAACACAATGAGATTTAAATCACTCTACATTAGATTTCAGATAAATACCCTTCTTTAGTTGAATGATACCATTTAGTATAGGTAATCCAAAAGCTAAAGTTTTGCCACTTCCTGTTTCAGCAGCCCCAAGAATATCCCTTCGCCCAAAAATTGCTGGAGGTAAAGTTAAGGCCTGTAAGAACAATCTTGTTTAAAGACATATCAAGCATGGTTCTGCAGCAATAGGTTTTCAGAAGCTTCATAATTATTTTCAACAATACAGAAGATTGAAAATTCTTATCCACATGAAGTGTAGTAATAAACATATACCAACAGTTTTAGAATGTAATATAAATTGAAAACAATATAACATACCTGAATTTTAGTAGGATAGGTAAAAGACTTATCCGCAAGAGCACGAAGCAAAATTTGTGGTACACCTAAGCCATTCCATGAGGACATTTGTAATAATGGCTCATCTGAATCATCTTGTTGGTGAACGTCTGCACCACAATGTGCAGAATCTTCAGGTTGTATCTCAACGGGGGAGGGGTCTTCTGTGGCTTCAGAGGAAACTTCGGTGGCACTTTCCTTCAATAAAGTTTTAACTTTCTTCTTCTTTCTCCTCCTTTTGGGTTTCTTTTTCTTCTCGACACCATTTTTTACTTGTGCCGAAGTCTTATCATTCTTGTCCTTGTCAGATTTGCGAACAGGTTTCTATAAATTAATAAATGACATTAAACATATCGAGTGAGCTAACTAGTAAGGATAGATAAAAAAACGCTGCACTCACCTTAGAAACTCTAGTCCCTTTTATTGAATAATCTGTCAATTCTTCAATACCTGCGAGCCCTTGTAAATCTGTTGGAGTAAATGCAGAAGTGTCGATGGAAACTGGCTTCCAGCCACTCTTCCCACTCTTAATTACTCTTGGTTTTACCATAATAACAAATAAAGACCCTCCCCGACAAAGTGTACTGTTTGAAAAAATTAACCTCTTCTAAATTAATGATTGTTTGATTTTAAGTAAATATTCCCAAAGAAGACATAACCTTTAGAGACATGTGGAACGGTAACAACAACAACAACGGCCTATGAAAAATTGTGTACAAGGCCTACCAATTATATGACATGCTCACAAAACTTATAGCAAACCACAGCTTAAAAGGCTGATTCGGAACACAAGTATGTGTTTTCAAAATTAGAAGAAGCATTTTCACGAAAAAAAATCCTTACAATCTGTTAAAATAGTGAAATGGTAAAAATAAAAATTTGTTGGCTAACATGGATTGAGTCACATATAGATCGTTTCCGGCGTGCGAAAGTCTTTTCCGGTGAACGAATCAGTTCCTTCACTGTTTACATCAGAAGTGTGAGCATCATCCAGTTTCATCTTAACTGGTAAGAAACGGTAACTTAAAAATTGATTCGGAAATTTTTGTTTTCACATTTCTCGGTTAATATTTTACCCTCCCCGGAAAATTTTATCTTCAGCTTATCGAAGTGTTCGTTGATTTCAGGTGCGAGCTCCACGCTGCACTTATCTTGACCCTCTACCTAATTCAAAATGGTGAGTTTTCTCTGCATCTATTCGCGGTTTCTACTGCGAACGTTTTTCTCTTGTATTCTGTCGCCACTGAGATGTATTTTAGCTATTAACCGGGGGAAATCTAGACAAAATTTGTGATTATTGTTGAAGTGTAGGGTTATGTTTCCCATGTTTCGCCAAGCTTGGTTTCTGTTTAGTTCCATATTTGCCGTGTCTTACTTATGAAGCATGTTCTCGACATTATTCTCCTGTTTCATTCTCTCTCCTTACTTTGCCCAGCATATTTAACGTGATCAGTCCGCTGAGGGTTGTCGGCGGCCCCCGCACCCGCAGTTGTTGGCACTCAAATCATTTATTCTCTCGTTCTTAGACACGGCTATGGTCTTAATTCTGTCTTCAATTTTTGAAGTGTTTCCCGATAATCCTTCGGCTGTTACATTTATTGTGCCATCCGCAATTTTTGATTGTTGATCTTTTCCTCTGTATATTTAGTAATCTTCAATTGTCTTTAGAATTGTGAGTAATGGCAATTTTTTCATTTCAGCCCAGAGAAATTAAAGAGATCAAGGACTTCCTCCTTAAGGCCAGGAGGAAAGACGCCAAATGTAAGTTCAGCATTTTAATCTCTACATGTCTTATCTAAATTCAAATGTGGTTTGAAAACTGATCTTGTGTTATCCCTTCCAGCTGTCAAGATAAAGAAGAACTCTGAGAACACCAAGTTCAAGGTGCGCTGCTCACGGTTTCTTTACACCTTAGTCATTACCGACAAGGAAAAGGCTGAGAAGCTTAAGCAGTCCCTTCCCCCAGGTAGGCCTGTTTCTTACTCGGGTGTACATGTGCACTTGTGCGGGCGTAGTTCTGAGAGGTACTGTGTTCATTTCTGAGTTGTCAAAACTAATCCTTTTTTTTTTTCAATTTTACAGGTCTGCAGGTAAAAGAAATCAAGTGAGATGTCTTTTAGTTAATAAAAGTTATAAAATACAAAGCCCTGACTACTTCTTTTCCCTTAATTTCCTGATGTTGAGTGGCTGAACTGAAAAACACATTTTCTGCATGGCTTTATTTCAACTTGATATGTTGGTTAACATATTGCAATGACATTCAGGAGGAAGAAATCAAATTGGGTTCACAAGGTATGGATCAACGATATTTCTTGTCACAAGTTCTTACAGTGGAGCCTTGCATAAATCTTGGGAGAACAATTCTTTAGATATTTGAGTTGGAGCTTTTCACAGGTTCTGCCTTTAAAGTTTAATTAAAGAGACTTGGCCATGGGCAAAATTGTAAGGCAGGGCTAGTTCTAGGAAGGCTGCTAGTTACCTAGATAGTCCACCTATATTTTAAGGGGCTTATTATTTTCTGATGTCATTGTTCACTTCAATTGTCATTAGGGGAACTTTGTTACCGTTTTTACCAATGCAACAAATTTTGTACAATAGTCAACAGTATCCTGTACAAAATATAACACAATTTACAAAACCGATAGTCCTCTTGTGCTGCTACTAGTCACTAATGTTTTCTGGGTTTCAAGTGACGTAGCTATTGCAAATGGAGTTAGTACTATCAGGAGTAGAAACCAAGTCAGCTGACTCAAAATGCAGCAACTGACCTAGGTATCCCCTCCAGTCTAAGTGTTGGGTATTGTCAAACACATCTAAAATATTATTACAAATTTTACCTATGGAGGCTCTTGTCTCCGGGGAAGATGTGCCCTCACTCAATGTAGGTTTGCAACAACGCCCTTTTCTAGATTTTCAGTGCAGAGCTCCGCATCTAGGTCTCTTGCGACTAGTACTCCAATAATAGGACATAACAAAGTACAGTACAGACACGTTCTTGTGTCTGTATTAAACTTTGCTGTGTATTGAAATGTATTTGATTTATCTTAGAGTAGAAACATGCTTGTGCGAGTTACAAGTTGTAGACTCATTGAGTTTCCTCAGTGGGACTACATTGATTTCATTAAATTTTAACAAACAGTAAATTACTGCCAGCGTGGAACAAATTTGGTTTATCACATTTGGTGAAAACCACCCTTATAAAATTTAAGTCAATATCAACAGTGGCGTAGAATAACATTTCCGAAATAACTCCGCAATGTAAAAGAGTATCTTAAAATACTAGCATTCTCCTGAACAATGTGGACCTTTTAGTTTCTGCCACACAAATACAATTTTCACTTTAGAATGGCAAGTGACCAAGCCTCTATTATTCTCTTGTCTTCTACACTCAAGCTCTCAGTTTTTCTTTTCCCCAAAGTAAACCATCTTCTATTCAACTTCCACTAAGATATTACATCAAAACTATATAGCCAATAAATTTATACATATTTTACAGCAAAATTAAAAATTTCAATCTACAATATCAGCTTTTTTTTACACTTTCAGAAAAATAATGTACTCAGTACTCCTTTATTTGGCTATTGTAAGCATTCTAAGTCAGCACAATGATGTCAATGGTGACCCTGTGTGGACTGAGAAGTTGGCTGTATTGCCTTTTTCTTGTCCTGGCCAGCAGCAATGTACGAAAATACGCACAACACTGAGTAACAAATAGTGTCAGCCTGGAAAAAAGCAAAAAGTTAACAGAGGCTGTTGTTGAAAGGTTTTTGTAATAGTTTGGTTTATAAATTCACACACTATTATAGAAACAATACATATGTAAAAGAGAAAGCACTCAAAATTAGGCAGAACTTACAAAAACAAAAACTAACATTAGCAGGCTTAACGGATCAGTTGTGCATACGCCACAGACATAACTCGATGCATTGAAAGAGTTACTTCAAATGCCTAAAAAAAAAAAGCATGCCAAACAAACTACTCAGATATTTTTAAATTGGGAAGACACTAAAAATGAAATAATAAAAGCAAACATTGCATTGAGAAACAAAATAAAAATTATGCTAAAGCAAAAAATAAATATTTAAAAATGGCAATATAATTAAAATGAAGGCTCTTCCTGTATTTGATAATTTACTCACCATTGACGATTTGTACTTTCTTTGAATCAACTGCCTAGTCTTTGGATCTGTAAGTAAAAGTTTTTAGTTTCCATTGTTCATTTGTCAACTCATGTACACTAGTCTAATTTCAGGTACTCACTAAATTCTTCGAGGACGAAGATTCCACCCTGCAGACAGAAGCACTTGCGCACGTGGTCAAGTCGCACGAAGAACTGTAACAAATCCAAGAAAAGACGTTCACGAGATGTTGGGCAGCTCTTATGGCTGGCGCCGGATGTCTTGGTGAAGGCCCATGCCATCCACCCTTTGTAGAAAATGGTGAGTGCCTAAGCATTGGGTCACACCATTGCTCTACCAGTGTCAGCCGAGCCAGTGAAATTCTAGCTTAGAACAACAGCACTTGAGCCAATTCGAACATATAGAATGAAGATCTATAGCGCTGCTACCACAATACGAAATCTCTATGAGCTAGCCCTTTCTACTTGGATTTACCGGTTTTATTTTGATGGCCAGTTTTGATTTAAAAAAAAATAGTGAATATACCCATGATGTACTTTGGGTTGAGCTTGGCTCCAAATGGAATCCGTTGCAAGTGTGACTACATGGTCTGTTTGTGGCCTGCGTACGGCTGAGCGCCTGCCGTCGGTGAGGTAGGCAACGTGCTCCGCACCGACGCGCGGAGGAGCCGAGATTGCCTACCGCCCGGGGGCCTGGGCCGGCCGGGCCTGTGGGAAGGAATCTGGCTCCTCCCGCTGGAGATGCAGCGATCAGCAGGCCTCTGCAGACCCACACGCAGGGCGCCGAGTGCAGAGAGAAGCGCTGTTCGGGCGTGCAGGTCTGAGAACCACCCCGAGCTTTGTTTACTGCACAAGCAGGCGGCCTAATTCTGTACTAGATATCTATGCTAATACTTTTTCCATCAGTTCATGGCTACATTTGTCATTGAAAGAAAAGAGAGAGAGAGAGAGAGAGAGAGAGAGAGAGAGAGAGAGAGAGAGAGA